TTTGTTACAAAATGGCTTTCTTCTCTTTTATATAGACCAGAAAAACATTTAGTCTAGGTTTACTAACAATAATGGATTACTTTGATAAAATATGAAAATAAATACACAATACCTCTACTCCATTGAAGAAGAAACTTGTTGTTGTGTCTTTACGTCAAGCTCCAAGCTTTAGACTTGCAAAATGGAAAGAAAATTGTAGAAACCCTAGGGTTTTTGGTGTGTTGGCGCAGAGGTATAAAGGAGAAGAAGAAACTCAATGAAGGGTTTTTTGGTGAAGAAAAAAACTCAATTAAGGGTTTTTTTGGTGAAGATGCTGGTGCAGCAACAGCCAAAACACACCGTTTAATGAACAGTGCTGTTTGGCTCCCATATGGAAGCAGACCGAGGGAAATTGGGTTGCACACAGCCCATTTCTGATAGACCTGTTAACATTCCGCCTCAAGATAGAAAGTTTTCTGCTTTAATCTTGATCATATGCTTTTTGAGAAGCCAATTGGACAAAGCCTTTATGAAGATGTCTGTTAATTGTTGTGTACTGTTCACATGTCTCATTACAATACTTATTTTCTACACTTTTTTGTTTAATTAAATGACAATCTATTTCAATATGTATGACAACTTTATTGTCACAATACAAATATGTTGCTGCTAAGTTACATACCTTAAGGTTATTAAGTAAGTATATGATCCATATTAACTCACAACATACACTGGTCATAGCTGTAGACTCTACCTCTATAGAAGATCTAAAAATTGCTTGTTATTTCTTAAACTTCTAAGATGCTAGCAAGTCCCCCAATATAATATAGTATCTTGTGATAGACCTTTTTGTGTCTGGGCATTATGCCCAGTCACTGTCAGTGTAAGCTTTTAGCTTTAATTCATATGTACTTGAGTAAAATAAACTTTGACTTAGAGTGTCTTTGACATACCTCAACCTTATATGTAGCCTTTAGATGGCAGTCTCTGGGTCCTGGCAAGATATGGCTTGGTCAATGTGAGGTACATCAACCTTCTGTACATTCTTGGATATGGGATTGGCACTCTTGCATCTCTTGAAAGTTTAACATTTTGGTCTAAGGAAAGCAATCAAGTTTTGCTTCTTAGAACTACTGCTTAATGATGAAGGTCATAGACATATTTCCTCTAGCATATGTGAACTCCTCTCTTTGACCTAACAACTTCAACTCTAAGAAAATACTTTAAATTTCCTAACTTCTTAATTTTAAATTTATTATCTAGTATTACTTTTAGTTCTTTAACCTTCATCATTACTTGCCACAATGATGTTATCAACATATACAAGTAAAGTTGTAAAGTTCTTACCATTATTCTTTACAAATAAACTGTAGTCAGCCTTGGACTGTTTGGGACCTTATTGAGTAATAAACGTAGAAAATTTGGCATACCACTATCTGGATGCTTATTTAAGCACATATAATCTTTTCTGCAGTCTACAAACTTTCCCTTCTCTCCTTTAAGGATGTCTAGGAGGGAATTTCATGTATACCTCCTCATTTAAGTTTCAATGTAAAAAGGCATTGTTGACATCCAGTTGTTGAAGATGTCATCTCTTGATTATTGTTAAAGCTAATAATATTATGAAACTATTTTGGCCACTGGGGAGAAGGTCTCGTGGTAATCTAGATCTTCTCTTTAGTTGAAGCTTTTGGCGACAAGTTTGACTTTATGTGTCTCAGTGGTACCATCTGCCTTGAATTTCATTTTGTAAACCCACTTACATCCAATAACCCTCTTTTCTGTAGAGAGGTCTATAATCCTTGAAGTTTTATTATCTTCTAATGCCTTTAGCTCACATTGCATTGTCTTGTGCCAATTGTTTCTCTTGTTTGCCTCTTCAAATGAGTTAGGTTCTTCTTGGGATGCTAATGCCAGGATATATCTCTTGTGTTCCCCCTTAATCTTAGAGTACCCAACAATACTTGCTATGGGAATGGCTCCATTCGATTGAGATCTTTCTCCATTTGTACCTTCGATATCATTTTCATGTCCACTAATTTTTTCACGCACATAATCCTTTAAGTATGTTGGTGTCTTATCTGTTCTGATAGATTTTCTTCGAGCATGTCTCACCAATGGCAACTTCTTCAGGAACAAGTTCTTGTTTAACGTCCTGCCCTTGACTTTCTAGTTCTCTAGTTATTGTTTCTTCTTGTATTTGATTAGACATTTCAACAACTCTTTCTGAACTTTTCTTTTGGCCTTCTTAGTTAACGTCTTCAATATCCATTCTTGTTGTGGGTATGGACTCATGCATTGGTTCTATAAAAGTTTCTGATGTCTTCATCCAACCTCTGTCCCTAGAGGGAAACATGTTCTTACATTTCTAAACATGATAATATCACTTGTCTCAATATCTTGCAACTTGTATCCCTTAGTAGTAAAGGAGTATCTTAGAAATACACATTTCCTAGCCCTTGCATCAAACTTGTGTCTATTCCCTGTTAAGGTGGATGCAAAGGCTAAGCATCCAAAAATCCTTAAATGATTATATCTTGATGGTTTTTTGTATAGTATTTCAAATGGAGTTTTTTATTTACACTTGGCGCATGAATCCTATTAATAAGATAAATAGTAGTTAATATAAAATCATTTCCATACCTTGTGTCTAGATTGCTTTGGACTATGTTGATGCTTCATTTCAATTCTTGTATTTTGTTGAGGTGTCTCCACACAGAGAGTTTTATGCAAAATCCCTTTCTCGGCATAAAATCTCTTTATCTCGAATTCTTTACCATTGTCACTATTAATCACTTTCACTTTCCTATCGAATTGAGTTTTAACAAATGCACAAAAATGTTGCAAGTGTACACTAGTCTCAGCCTTGCTTTTCATCAAATATAACCAAGTGCATCTATTGTGGTCATCGAGAATTAATAAAAAATACTTATAACCATCATGTGATGTCTCATTACAAGACCCTCAAATATCACAATAAATTAAATCAAAATACTTTAGAGCTCTACTGCCATTATCATCAAATACAAGTTCATGCATCTTAGCTGGCAAACATAATAAAGCTTACTATTATATGTTTTTACATTTGATTGAAGAATTGACTTAGAATGTGAATGATGTCCAATCTGTAATGACATACATCAATTTCTTGCATTTCTTTGGGACCCAAAAAGGTTGCACTTGTGAAGGCTGGGTTGGTTATTTCTCTTAATGGTATAGTGGAATTAAACTAATACAATTCATCCTTAATTCCCTCACTCCAATCATTTTCGAGGTCACAAGGTCCTGGATAACAGAATATTTTTTTGAAAAAATCAAATAACATTCACAATTTTGTGTTAGCCTTTTTGCAGAAATTATATTTAAATTAAATGACGACACACAAAATATATTATTAAGAACTATTTCACTTAACTTGATTGTTCCAACATATGATACATTAGCTTTTTTGCCATTAGGTAATGTAACTTTAAAAACACTGCTTGTTGTAATTTTAGAATATAATTATGGTGTATGAATACTGTGATCAAATGCTCCAGTGTCAATTATCCAAGGAACATGTATGTTTTCACATGATTTTGATGAGTGAACATTAGAGCATAGACACATCCCAAAATCCTACCAGACTCAATTCCTGTGAGGATCCCGATGAAGACTCAACCATGTTGACCAATGAATGTTTATGCTGAATGAAATTCATTAACATTATATTGCTCTTTGGTGGGAACATGATGCTCCTCACTATTAGGCTTCTGCCTTTTTGACTGTCCTGGTGTTCTATAACATTCCAGGATATTTTGTTGAGCATACCTTTGTTTGAGGTCATTCGGATCCTTTAGTTTAGTTAGAGTTTCATTTTTGGACCCTAATTTATTTGGAACACTCAAAGTGCACGACATGGATCTAGCCCAAGTGCAGTAATTACTTCCAAGTAATTATGGGACCAAGGCTGCATTCGAGTATAGGATTTTGTGTATGTAATATGCTATTTTAGATTTGAGGGAACCAAAATTGCTTCAGTCAAAATCGTGGGGTTTTGATTTATGGTGCTTATATTTGGTTTGTTTTGGATCTAAATCGGTTTTTTATTTTTTTTCTCTCAGGTTCATATCAACCTGTTCAAACCCTTTTTTTTTTAATTTTTTAATAAGATTTGGATCAACTCAAAACGGTCTTGGGTTCAGATTAATTGAAACGAACTCAGGATTCGGATTTGGATCAACCAGAAGGTCTCAGGTTCGGATCAACCCAAAACATACACGAGTTTTGGATCAACCCGAAACGGGCTCGGTTTCAAGCAAAAACACACAGGTTTGGATCAACCTGAAACAAATCCCTTTGGAATTTTTTTGTATTTGTTTAGATCAGATGCTCTAATAGCATGTTACAAAATGACTTTCTTCTCTTTTATACACACTAGAAAAACATTTAGTTCTTAAGTTTTCTAATAACAATGGACTACTTTGATAAATATAAAAATAAATATACAATACTTATACTCCATTAAAGAAGAAACTTGTTGTTGTGTCTTCATGTCAAGCTCCAAGCTTTAGACCTACAAAATAGAAAGAAAATTGTAGAAACCCTAGGATTTCTACAATAGGGCTTCTGGTGTGTGTCGACGCAGAGGAAGAAAGGAGAAGAAGAAACCCAATTAAGGGTTTTCTGGTGAAGAAGAAAAGGTATTTATACCTCTTCTTCTGGTGCAGCAGCAGCCAAAATGGACTGTTTAATGAAACGGTGAATTTTGGCTCCATATGGAAGCAGGCTGAGGGAATTGGGTTGCACGCAGCCCTGACAGGCCTATTAACATCATTGTTGCCGAAATGATGGAAAAAGTCAATGTTTCAGCTTTATATGATGTCAGATGGAGGAAGAAGATGAATAGTCGGACTAGTTCAGAGATGAAGGGTCAGGTCAGTTGTGTGTGGAGCGTTTAGTGAAACCTAATTTTTTTTTCACTGCAACGAGTTTTTAACAAAGTGCTTGTTAAATTATTTTTATTAAATATGTGACTTGAGTGCTTGTTAAGTTGTACTATTTTCATGGTTAATAATTTAAGACCCAACTATACTTGCTCTTTTCTGAAAATTATATACACTCAAAATTGTCAGAAGACAAAAAAGTAAAAAGAATTAAGCAATCTCTTTCCTTTGAACAATGCTAAAAAAAAATAAAAACTAAAAAAGAGAGAGAAGCTTGAATGATATGATACAAGAGATGAGCAATTATAAGGTAATCCAACAACATATAAATTGACAAATCTCATAAATGTGATTCTGTAATTCTAAATTTATGTGAAAAATTATAAACATAAAATTTTTTAAGTGTAATAATTACATTTATGTTGACTATTAACTCATAAATCCTCCTAAAGTAACTTATAATTATTGGAAGAAGAAATCAACTATATAAAAACTCTCAACTAAGCTTACCTACATCTAATCGATGAGCTCACCGTTATATTTTTATCGGCCCTACTGATTTTGAAGAAGATGATGATGAAAATGTTGATTTGTCAAATTCTTCTTTGTCCTCACTAAACGCTTTGCTGAGAATGTCCTGAAGTTCCATGTACCTACGTTTTTTTAGGCGTCGCTCCTCTGGGGTATCATGTTCCAGACGTGCAAGCAATGACAAATCATCAGCATCCATGATTTTGTTCAGTACTTCAGAACAACGAGGGAAAAACCGTTTCCCTAGTTCCACTGTCAAAACATATAACAACATTAGAGTTCCTTCTTTATTGGTCTTCTGTGATAGTGTTCGATTACAAATTCAACGACTTCAAGATTCACCTCCTCTCTAATGGAAAAGACACATCTGTTTGAAACAATTTTATGATATACTCTCTAAATTCCACTAAATATTATTACAATTTCATAATTTGCTTGAAATTAAAAAATCAAATAATAAATCAATCCGTTTACAAATGAAATAAAGTTTTGCTATTCATTTATATTCAAGGGAGAATTCTCACTGCAGGTTATTATGACTAAATATACATATATACTGTTAAAATATGTAAAGATTATAAATAATTATCAAATCAGGATAAAACAAAAATATTAAAAATTACCATTTTTGAAATAAGCATATCAGTAGCCGCACCCGATGCAGCTACATGTTATACATGTGGCTGCATAAAGGCAGCACCACCATCCTAGCATCAGCGATGGGTAAGCCATCACTGGAAGTTTTATTTGGTCAAATTCTCTTTTTGATTTTCCTAATATTGACTATGGTTGGTTCGCAATTCAAAAGCGGCAAACTTTATCGCTATTTAGGAAGTATTTCCAATTTTAGTAATAGTTTTATAAAAATTTTAATCTGTATTGAGAACTTTCCTGATTTTCAACAGCCTTAATTGATGTAAGTTGTAAGACAAGGTTTACATACACGGTTGTAGCCAAATTTTGCTACAACCGTGTGTATATATGTCTATATAATATATACACACATATTTATATATGGGATACGATCCAAGACGGGACAAATTCACAACAGTAAATCAATTTATGGAAGGCTAGGAATGATGACTTTGTCCAGTTGGGAATCATTTATTCCAATAAAAGGCAATAAAATTTATCTTTTTCCTTGTGAGGAGGCACAAATAATCTATGAGCTCAAAATCCTTTAACCTCTTATTTCTTGGTGAGTAGAGCTTCCAAGGCTAATGCATTTCTAAACGGTGAGATTCATATATTAGGAAGGATTTGGAAGGAAGATCTAGAATCAGGTTACAACCAGACCCATAATTTTAAAGATCCCAGATATAGCACCTTAGAACATCTTCCCCAGGATGTAGATATCCTAAATTTCAAATTCTAAGGAAGTAAATATTATAAGTTCATGTTTATATTTCAAAAAAAATATATCATAAGTTCCAAACTATAACTTTCGTTAAATGGTTACTACATAAGATAAGTCTCTAACTGATGGTTAATATATATTTCCCTTTATAAAAAGTCATGAGTTTGAATTGATTGTACATTTTTGTGTGTTATCAATATAAAGTTATATTATAATAAATGTGTATATATTACCTAATTAACATATATATATATTTCCACTAAAAAAAAAAGATTGCAAACTAAACAGTCCAGACAATTAACCAAGGTATTGTTAGTTTGGATTTAACTTGTTAATATTGTTACTACTTATGATAACTACATAAAATAAGTCTCAAACAGATGGTTAATATATATTTCCTTTTATAAAAGGTTGTGAGTTTGAATTGATTGTGCATTTTCGTGTGTTATCAATATAAAGTTATATTATATAAATGTGTATATATTACCTAATTAACAAACATATATATTTCCACTAAAAAAAAAAAGATTGCGAACTAAACAGTCCAAATAATTAAACCAAGTTATTGTTCGTTTAGATTTAACTTTTAAATATTGTTACTACTTATGACAGTCTAGCTACTTTTTGTTGTAGCATCACTTAAGGTAGAACAGGAAGATTTTTACTTAATCCAAGTTGAAACTTACAGTTTTTGTTTAAGCTAGTGCTTAACTGATAAAAAAATAGGATAAAAATGCTCACACGGCTCTGTTTGTTATAAGAAAACATTTTTAAAATTAACTTATATTTTATACATAAGAATACTTGAGTTGTTAACAATAAAAATAATAGGTGTAAAAATGAGAATGGAATCCAAAAGTTTTAGAATGTTATTTTCATTTTTTTCTTAAAAGAAATTCATTATTTGATTATTCCAGAAATACATATCTTGTTCATGCTTTCATGAATAACATGTGCATAAAAATATAGAAATCTAATAAATAAAAACTAAAAAGACATTATCATATATGAAGCAACACTTCATCAAGAGAATCGTTTAAGATAAACTATGGCAAATCTTGGTGAAGTAAAAACCAAAAAAGGGCTTACCAGTTCTAGAGAGTGCTCTGAGTCTATTCAGGTGCTCCTCTTGGATTCTGAAAGGCGCCTCATTCAAATCCATAGTGTTCTGCTCGCGGTTAGAGTTGATGCCATCAAATGTGAACTCAGAAGTTCCATTCACTTGGGCAATATCCATTGCAACTTTTGCTTCCATGGGGAAAAGAAGTTTTGCCAGCCCAACTGGAAAACAATAGCACATTAGTAGGCTAGTAGCATAATGACCATAAGATTTTTCTTGTAAAACAAAGTTTTAGTTGGATTCAGAAACCCTTAGGATTTTCTTATTTCATATCCAGATAATTCATATCCTTCTATATTCTAGTCTGGAATTTCACTAATCCACTTAGCTAACTATTAACTATTTGCTTCTGTCTAACTAACCATTGACAACTCTACTACAACAGCTTCAACTGCAACTCTAAACAGCTCTAAATGTATTACAGTTCCAATTGTATTAACTGTCTATAAATGCCACTAGCTGCCATCACTACCCTAAGGAACTCGTCACTCCATATCTCTGACTCCCTCCTCAAGAAGCCTTGTTAAGCCTGGACAACAGCTTCAACTGCAACTCTAAACAGCTCTAAATGTATTACAGTTCCAATTGTATTAACTGTCTATAAATGCCACTAGCTGCCATCACTACCCTAAGGAACTCGTCACTCCATATCTCTGACTCCCTCCTCAAGAAGCCTTGTTAAGCCTGGACCGAAGCACTACCAATATGGCCCTTAACGAATGGCTTTGTTCTACATCTTCTGTCAAAAGCTCCATTTTTCCTTCAAGTAGGCAGTTTCTACTATTGTTTCTTCATCATGAACTACTTTTTGGTATATTCTTTGATGAACTTGGGATAAAGAAGACATCCCTTATTTTCTACACTTGTGGCATGGTGTTAACCATCTCCAAACACCAACAACATGGTCCCCTTTGCTCTTTTGTCATAAATCGCCTACTGGTCATGTCTTGGGTTTTCTTGGTAGCCCGCTGTGATGTGTGTACGGTGGTGGCACTCTTCTGTTGCCTGTCTTCATTTGTGTTCAGCACTGGATAAACTTTGGAACTCTCTTGGCAACAGGTTTCACATAGGAAAACAGGTCAGGAGCAAGGTTTCATGGGACTCAATGCTAATCCAGCCAAGGCATAGGCATTTCAGTAGACTATGATTGAAACATTCTTACCAGCATCTAGAACTTCTGATGTCAGTCCTGCCAGGAAAACTTCCAGCATATGGTTTGGTAAGCTGCAACTTATCAATTTATTGAATGCCTGTTGTTTATATACTTAAATGATGCTCCTCCTCGTCATTTTTGCTCCTCTGATTGTGAATTTCAAAATTTCCCCGACCTGGATTCATGCTGAATCTTGTCTTCCCTACCCAATTTACCAAACCCCAAACTTCTTCTCACAAACTCAACGAAGCTCGTTTCTCTCCTCACCTTTAGATGCAACAACAACTCGGCTCGGCAGTTGGGGCAGTGTAGATTCAATGGCACACCTTCCTCACCTGCTTCCTTCATCTTCTCAGGTTCCTGCCTCATAAGCTCAGCTCTGGTTGTCACTAGCGCCACATATTTCCTTCCTGCCACTTCAAAAACTGCAACCATCAGCCTCCACCATCTGCTAACCGCCTCTCCTTCCAGTAGGAATATTTGCCTCCGTCTCCCCCATTTTCTCTGTAATAACTAGAAATCTCCCCCTCTTATTCCTACCCAAAGTCACCTACAGCCTGTGATTCATCCCCTTCATGTTCCAGCCCCAAAGTTTACCTCCCTTGATCCTATAGCACTCCTGTAAAAACCCCAACAGTCATTCCACCTCGTCATCCCAGAATGATATCGATACTCTGAAGCCTCTTCCATCCTCACACAGCCTTAAGCCCTCTGATCTCCTCCCCTTGCCCACTGAATGTTTTATTTTCAATAACTAGAAACCTCTGATTTGTTACATCCATCATCTAAACACTGTGATGCTGGCTGCACACGACTGCCCAGCCTAGGTTCACAACGTACTCCTCTTGTTGTTCACCTCTATCGTTACTATCAAACAACTTTCTTCCATTTAGCAGTCTCTCCTTCAGACATAATTGGAAACATGACAAAGATAAACCTTCAAGTTTGCTGATTTTATCATCATCTTATCTATCTTCTATAGATCATCAATGGCCTTTCTACTCTCTATTTTGGTGTTTCATTAATTCACTTGCTTAACTGCCTGGCTAACTCCTAGTTTTTGTAAACAACTAACTGTTTATAAGAATTTTATGCTAAGTAAAATATTATATTAGTTAAAATTCTAATAATATAATTATATCCTATAATTAAAGTCTAACTAAAATAAAAATAGTCACTCTATACATATCTTCTAAATATAAACACAAAAAATAATAAATAAAAATGAGAAATTTATTTTCTCTAAAAACTTCGTAGTATCAAAACCAAAGGAAGACTATTTTAGAGTTTTGAAAAAAAGCCATAAAATAAGCAAAATAGGCCAAAGTTGGTACTTAAACTACCAAAGAAGCCAAACCCAACATCACCCAAACAGAGTCGCCGCTCAACCCCGGCTAGAACAGCCACAGTTTCTGCACGCATCCGCCATATGTGCTGCTGGCAGCAGAGGCGCAGGAGCCACACATGCCAGCTTCATCCCATTCGGCCCGAAAAACGGTGGAATACCGACAGAAAAGCCCGATTGAGACAAATCTGGTTCTTTTCCGCACAAAATCAGGCTTGATCGCAATTATCCAGCCTTCTTTTCACACGGCTGCACGCGTTCAGAAGATTTGTCGACCTATGCCCTCCGCCACTCTGATCCGGTCGATCCGCGTCTGGAGACCGGTCGACTGATCCTCTTGCACAGCACGCTGCTCCGGTCGCGCGTTGAGTCGCACTGCATTGACTAAACATAGCCCCTCCCTCGCACCAGTCTGCTTTTCCACGCACGGGACGTCTGGTGTGGCCATTCCGTGCACCAAACCACTCTAACCTGATCCATCCGTGCCTGAGCAGAGCTATCCACGTCCGAGCCGATGCCATGCCGAGCCGAGCCGAGCCGAGCCAAATCTGATTCCGATTGTTTTGTCCTTTTTCTGGTTTTTTTTTTATCCATTTTGGTTCTTTGGTGCAGATAAGAGGTCTATTTTTCATTATTAAATATTTTTCCTTCTTATTTTTAGCATTCTAAGATGACATAAGCAAAAAAAGTAAATGTTACTAGTTTTGGTAACCTTTCATTACAAATTAATCTTGTAAAACTTGATGGAACTAATTATCTTACTTAGTTGAGATATTATTTATTGTTCATCACATCTAAAGGATTGCAGGGTTACATTACTGGTGAGATGAAGAAACCAAATATTGGTAGTTTAAAATATAATAGATGGGACTCTGAGAGTTCATTGGTAATATCATGACTCATAAATTCTATGCAACCCCATATTATTATAACATATCTGTTGTTTAACACTGCCGAAAAAATATGAAATACAGCATCTCTTATATATTCACATATGGATAATGATACTTAGATTAATGAACTCCGGAATAAAGTTCATAGCACAAAATAAGAAGAGACGACTATTTCTCAATATTTTTCTGAACTGAATAGATTATGACAAGAATTAGATTACTATCAAGATTTTCAAGCAGAGTATCCTGTAAATGTAGTCAAATTTCAGAAATTGTTAAAAAAATAGCGAATATATAATTTTTTAACTAGTCTGAACACCGAATATGATCAAATACGGATCCAAGTGCTTGATAAGGATCCATTTCCTTCATTAAAACAAACTTATACTTATGTTAAACAAGAAGAGAGTAGAAAAAATACCATGTTTCACATTACACTAGTTGAGAAGGCTGAACTAGTGGCTCACTCTGATCAATCCAAAAATATATGGAAGAGGGACTATTGTGGCAAGTCAAGGGAAACTTGTTGAAAATTGCATGAAAGATCAATTAGAGGTCGGGGAGGAAGAAGAGGTGGAACCACAGGAACTCAAGCAAATTTTTTTGAAGTTAGAGAAACATCTGGTTCACCATCCGTTGGAGTCTTTTCCATAGAAAAAATTCAAAATTTAGAGTGACTTCTGAGTTAAGTTAACTCTCCATCAACTGTTGGCACATCAAATATGATAAAATCAGGTATTGCTCATCCTATTTCCACTGGATTATAGATTCTGCAGCTAACAAACACATGACAAACTCTTCTAAAGAATTCTTCTTGAACTGAAGGAGATAATGTTCGTATAGCAGATGGGTCGTACACCCCGTGTCGAGAACAGATTCCATTAATTGTATTCCTACTATTACATTATCTTCATTTTTACATGTGTCTAGTTTTTCTAATAATCTTTTATCTACAGTATCATAACTAGATATCTCAACTGTAAAATTAAATTTTTTTCTGATCATTGCATCTTTCAATATTTTTAAACCGGAAAGATGATTGGCACTGGTAGACTGCAAAATGGCTTATGTGTCTTGAACAAACATCTGAATTTACTTGGAAATCAAGCAAGCATTGGGAATAAAGAAGTCAATATAGAGATACTACAATTGCACCGACAATTGGGACATCCTTTCTTTTTTGTTTTAAAAAAACTATATTCTAAATTATTTAAAAGAACTTCTATGAAGTGTTTGTTTGATAATGCATGCGAACTTACTAAACATAAGAGATTCTCTTATCATTTAAGTAATAATAAAAGTACTAATCCTTTTATGACTATTCACTCTAATGTGTGGAAACCTACTCATAATACCTCTCTTTATGATCATAGATGATTTGTTACTTTTATTGACTGTTGTACTAGATTAACATGGATTTATCTGTTAAAAGCAAAAAGTGATTTATTTTCATGTTTTCAATCTTTTCACAAAATGATATGTACACAGTTTGGTGCTAAATTTAAGATTTTGTGAACTGACAATGGTATAAAATATATGGATAGTGAGTTTCGTGCCTACCTGAAGTCAAATGGGATAATTTATCAAACAACTTGTGCCTACACCAGTGAACAAAATGGGTGTTTACCGTAAAATACAAAACAGACGGATCGATCGAAAGATACAAAGTTAGATTGATGGTTTTACTCAGACCTATGAGATTAACTATTACGAGACATTTGTACCTGTTGCGAAGATGAATATAATTAAAATACTTTTGTCTTGCGCAGCTAACCTTAATTGGGATTTACAACAGTTTGATGTAAAAAATGCATTCCTCCATGGAGACTTAGAGAAAGAGATGTACATGAAAATTCCACCTGGATTTGAAAATAAGAGGATGCAAGGAAAAGTTTGCCAATTAAAAAGTCCTTATACCGATCGAAGCAGTCTCCAAGAGCATGGTTTGAACAGTTTAAAAGAGTTATGATCTCTTTTAAATATCAATAAAGCAATGTGGATCATACCTTATTTATAAAACATGATTAGAGTAAGGTCATTTTTCTTATTATTTATGTGGATAATATTGTGGTGATTGGAGATGACATAAATGAGATAGCTCGGTTGAAGGAACTTCTTATTCAAGAGTTTAAAATAAAAGATTTAGAAAAATTGCAATGCTTCTTGAGCATTGAAATTGTCAAATCCAATAAAGAGATCTTCATTTCTCAAATAAAATATATCTTAAACTTACTAGAAGAGATTGGTATGATGGGTTGCAAGTCGGTAGAATCACCTATTGAGAGCAACCACAAATTGTAAGCAGGTAGTGGTACATCAATTGACTTGGGAAGATACCAGAGACTTGTTGGAAGACTCATTTATCTCTTACATACCAGACCTGATATAGTATATACAGTTAGTCTTGTGAGCCAGTACATGCATTATCCTTATGAGACTCATTTACATGCTGTCTTCCGCATATTACAATACTTGAATTCTGTACTAGGAAAATGTCTACTCTTTTCTAAGAGTGGTCACCTTAAAATAGAAATATTTATAAATGTCAATTAGGCTGGGTCCCTATATGATAGAAGATCAACCACAGTACACACTTGTATGAGACAACTTAGTTACATGGAAAAATAAGAAACAAAGTGTGGTTGTCCGTTCCAGTGCTAAGACAGAATATAGAGCAATGGTTCAAAAAATATGTAAATTACTATAGTTGCAAAAGCTAATGAGGGAGTTAAAACTGCTTAAAGACAAGAAAATATCCCAATTTTATGACAATAAAACAGCAATTAACATTGTCCATAATTCAATTTAACATGACAGAATAAAACACATTGAGATTGATCAACACTTCATAAAAGAGAATGTGGTTGGTGGCTCTCTATGCTTATATCATATATCTGCTAACGACCAAGTGGCTGACATTTTCACTAAAGAACTATGCAACAAATCTCTTCAGAACCTAATTTGCAAATTAGGTATATATGATATCTTTGCGCCAACTTGAGGGCTAATGTTGATAAGAATTTCATATTAAGTAAAATACTATATTATTTAGAGTTCTAATAGTATAATTATATCTTATAATTAGAGTTCAACTAGAATAAAGATAACCACTCTATATATATCTTCTAAATGTAAATACAAGAAATAAGAAATCAAAATTAGAAGTTTATTTTCTCCAAAAACTTTACTAGCAATTGTCAGTTCTAACTATATTAACTGTCTTTCAACTGTCACTAGACTGTCATAATTGTTTTAACTGAATTCTTCTCTTTATATCACATGGACACGTCCTGAAAGAAAACACCAAGAACAACATACTACTAGGCATTCTTCAAATGAGAATGTGCCTTTTAATAACTGTCAGAATGATCAAATTCTTTACTATTCAGTAATAAAAAAAAGTTCAATTAATTATAAAAAATGATGCAAGAGAAAGTTTCTGATTTATTGAAATGTAAAGGCATATGTGGGAATTTCTGAATTTTAATACTGCTATCAACTGTAACTAATGGCGTCCTAAAAAAATTGAAATTTCTCAAATCTCTCTTTTTTTCCTAACAGAAATCTCTTTTTGTTTTAACCGAACTATCTCCTTAATGGTACATATATTATGTCCTTCCTATCAATCTCTAGTAGAAAAATGAGTGCAATACTAGACAACAGAAAATGACTGAGAATGACAGCATGCCAATATGTAAGCAGTTTACTTTTCACCAGAAAAAGATATATATCTATGCAGGAAATCATATCTAAAGGAGTATTAAGCCAATGCATCAAAGAGTTGGAAATAAAAACTACAGAAAGGATCAAGTACATGGATATCAGTTGAGTTCTGTAAAGCTTAGCTCAGATTATTCATAGGTCAAGCAAAGCTTGAATAGAATAAATATAGAATTTTTTCGGAAAAAAATAGAACTTGACTTTATTTGCCAGGACGAAGATAGGAGTAGAAACATGGGATGATGTCTTTCAGCAAGGTTGGGCAGAATAAAGCCATTCTTCTACTATCTATTAGGGAATTGTTTCTATAGTTGGCCAGTGGTTGTGATACGGAATCTAGAATCAATTAACGTGATCACGAACTCCGCATATAATATCAACATTCATAATCATAAAACCGTCAACAAACCCTCCTTACTTGACCTATATTCAACAAGTGAATGTCAACCAAAATAATTGAAATAATTTGAATTAATTAAAAACGCCACAAGTATTAACTTGATAAGTTAGAAATCAATTCATAAGAAAATTGACAAAACACCACAAAAATTTACCTTAATCAAATAAACCAACTCTCACTCAACAAGAAAGTTGACGAAACCTAACTAATTGAAAACTAAAACTTCATAATTTTATTATTCTCAAACTTGAATCATTACAACTGTGAATTGAAGATCTACTTATAGAGTAGGCTGTGTATTATAAGAAAATAAATCTCTTAAATTAATGATAGAAATTATAAAAAAAATTAAATTTTATTTTAAATGAGAAAATAATGAAAATTAAGAAAACTTTTACTAAAATAGGTTAGATAGTATATTCTCTTTTTAAATGAAAATATTTTGATTAATTGTGAAGGAATTAAGGGAAGTAAATATGATTAATTAAGGCTGTCTATTAAAGGAGGTAAGAGGTCACTCATATTTTTTCTAAATCGTGGGATTTACTTCTTTAAGGAATGAGATTTGATTTTTTCTTCCTTAAATATATGATATGGTTTAGGGAGAAATCTTCCCTCTTGGCTGATTCTCTCTTTAAAGAAATTATTTTCCCTTTTCTTGCTTACATCATCTCCTCCCTCTTCAAAAACGATTCGTCATCGAATCAGACACTTCTTATGTTAGAGTTTCACTAATTCTTTCTTTTTTTTTTGAGAAAATATCATCGGTTAGAACGTTGTATAAGATCATTGTGAAAATCTACAAGCAATAGTTAGTAAAAAAAATAACAGTCGCTCACATGTTTCACTCGAACTCCTTCCTTGAAGTTGAATGTCAGAATTGAATTTTTTTGAATCAAGATAATCAAAATTTTGTATATGATACTTTAAGAAAAAAGCTAGGGAAAGAAAGTGGCGAAACAATTCAAATACACGAATGAAAATAGTGCGTGTTTTATGTATGATGCTAATTAATTATGGTGCAATTACCTACTTAGAAATGTAGCGAAACAAAAGTACAAGAAAACATAGAGTGCAAGAAGGATAATATGGATATGATTTTTTTATGTATATGAGTGGATGCAAAGTATAATTTTTTTTACTATGAAAAGTAACAAATATGCGAAGATAAAATATGCAGTATAATAATATTTTTTCGAATCTAAGCTCTGATACCAAATGATACGGAACCTATGATCAACTAACGTGATCAAGAACTCCATATATAACATCAGTATTCAGAATGGTAAAACCCTCAACAAACTCTCATTACTTGACGTACATTCAACACGTGAATGTCAACCAAGAAAATTGGAATAGTTTAAATTGATTAAAAACGCCACAAGTATGAACTTGATAAGTTAGAAATTAATTCACAAGAAAATTGATAAAACGCCACAAGTACTTACTTTGATAAGTTAAATTAATTTCCAGTCAACAACAAAGTTAACGAAACTTAAGTAGTTGAAAACTAAAACTTCATAATGTTATTATTTTCAAACTTAAATTATTACAATTGTGAATTGAAAACCTATTTATAAAATAATGTATGTGCATTACAAGAAAATAAATCTCTTAAATTAATGATAGAAATTATAAAAAAAATTAAATCTCATCTTTAATGAGAAAATAATGAAAATTAACAAAATTTTGATCAGAATAGATTAAATAGGATATTTTCTTTTTAAATAAGAATATTTTGATTAATTGTGGAGGAATTAGATAAAGTAAATATGATTAATTAAGGATGACCATTAAATGAGGTAAGAAGTCACTCATATCTTTCCTAAACCGTGGGATTTACTTCTTTAAAGAATGAAAATTTGATTTTCTCTTTCTTTTAAAATATTTATGTGGGTTTAGGAGAAAATCTTCCCTTTTGACTGATTCTCCCTTTAAAAAAATTCTTTTCCCTTTTTCTTGCTCACATCAAATTGAGTAGTGTTTCTTTGGCAAAGATACTAACTTTATTTTATTTGAGATGACTACTTACCAGTTCTTTTTCATTTCCATTTTGAATTGTCCCAAGACAGGAGATAAGAAGTAACCCCTTTCAACCATCATAAATAAAATATAGCATTAAAATCATCGTGCAAGACCAAGGGAAATGAAACAAACCAGAAAGGGAAGTGGAATTTAAATAATTCTAGATTACTAACTTCTATTAGTTGTATTCTATGATTTAGCGAAGGATCAAATAGAGCAAACACATGCATATGGAGGAAAAACAAGGGGAAAATTTGAAGTTCGTAGAAGAATTACCTCTGTTTTCAAGGTACAACAGTTTCATCCTGAAATCATCACCAGCTTTTGCAAGAGAGAGAGAAGCTTCTCCAAGTAGTGGATCTCGCCTTTCTGCCTGCTCCAATATTTCTACACATAACCGATCCTTGGGTGCAGCCTTTCCTTCCTCTGTAGTGTTATAATAATCAGCTGCTTTAGTGAGCCGTTTTGATATTTGGAGTGCTTTCCTCCCATCTGGGGTAAGATCTGATGGTCGAGCGCCTTTTGTTAAAAGCGATACTATGAGTTTGGGCTCTTTCCGCATTGCAGCAATATGTAGCACAGTATAGCCTCTTGAATTTCTATGGTTAACATCTGCAAGCCCAAGGTCAAGGAGCTCTATTGTTGTCTTTGCATCACAATATGCTACAGCATAGTGGAGAGCATGTGCATCATCCAGATTGGTGCGTGCCTCCTTCAGAAGCATCCTAACTAATTCAACATCATCTGAATCCAAAGCACGGTGTATTCGCTTCACATGTTTATCTGGAAAACTCCTACCTTCAGGGCCTTGTGTGTCGCATTCTGCTCGTAAATCCATGATTTGTTTTACAATGCTCAGGGGCAACGATTTATCAAGGGTGACTGCATCTACATCAGATTTGACAATAATATCCATACACCTGCCGAGCAATCTGTCACACACTTTACCACATATATTTGCAACAGAAAGAATCACTAAAATATTGTCCGTCTCAACTTTATCAATAATGTCCAGTAAGTGCCGCTGCATGAAACACAATCACCAACAGAACATTTGATCAAACAATCAAAAAGTAACTGTGTGTGATGCATGAGGTGGAAGCCTACATAAACCCGTATGTTTTTACCTATTACCAAAATAAGTGTACTACGTTAAACGTTCAGACAACTTGGTTAGAACTTTGGAAATTCTTGTCATCACCATGTAAAAAGATCGTGAGAGCAAAAAGTAAATACAATAATTTTGAACACTAATAAATTCAGTAGACCAGGCCAAAACTTGATCAAGATTAGCCTGTTGCAACAGATTTTGGAAGAAAGTGGGCAAAAATTCAAATGTTTTCTATCCCCAGCTACGAAGCGTTCGCCTCACGTATCTGGTGTCACTTTGAGATTGTTCCATGTGTGCAATTACATTACCATATTAATACATCAGTTAACTAGAAACAAAAGCAACTTTCTGGGTGCTTTTATAGATACATACAGATAACAGCAGTACTCAATTATTTTTTCGTGGAAAAGACAGTCCATGATATTGCAACATAAAGATAAAGCAAATTAAAAGATTTTAGAAACAGGAAAAGTATTCTTTACCTGATAAAGGGCCACTAATTCCGAAATCTGGAAGGTAAAAGCCACGTAGAGCACCTCCACCAGGAAATCCACCGCCGGCCTGCAGCCGACGTGCGAGCACTCTTCGTCCACGCAAACACAAACTCCCTTTGGTAACGGCCAAACCTTGCCAGTGTACAGATAAGCTAAAACGGCAACAAGCGCGTCGAAACCGACATCATAGTCTCCAGCAAGTTCCTTGAGGCGGAACTTGGCGGTTCTCTCCTTGAACGCAGAGCCGGAGAAGATGGCTTTGAAGAAGGGACTCCTCGAGGAAAGAATGCAACGGTGCACGGGGATCTCACGGCCGGAGCCGAGCATCAGCCTCGCGTCACTGAAGAAGTCAAAGTCAGAAGAGTCAAAGATTGTCAGCAGGTTACGAGAGAGCAGCTGCAGACCCGAGATCTCCGGAGTCGTTAGAGGCTCTAATGGATGCGAAAGCGTGTCTGTGTTAGTTGCCACGCAACAAGTACTGCTGTTGTTGCTGATGTCGTTGGAATCTGAGGTTCCTGTTCTATAATCCATGAGAGGATTAAGAGGAGAAATGAAGATAGCTACGCAGAAAATACGGATTTAGGGAAATTTTTGAAGCAGAGGAAATTATTCGGATACAAAAGGCAGTGATACGGTAAGCGAAAAGCACAGTTACATGATCACAAAAACTAAAGAGCTAGAGCGAAGGAGGAAGAAATCAAAAACCACTGACTCGATACCTGCAGTTTACGAGTAAATAAAAAACGAGAGGTTCAAAGCGAAAATGAAAGGCAAACAGCTGTCAGTACTTGAAAAACAGAAGAAATGTAAAGAAGAAAGGAAACGTGAAGAAGAAGGTTGGGACTCGTGAAATAAGGAAGGCAGAAACCGCCATGGATGATCAGAGAACTGAAACAGAAAGTCAGATGAAAGAGAGAAGAAGAAAGAGAATGAAGTCACTCATAAGAAGACGTCAAATTGGCATTCAATTTTTATACTATTAACCAGGATTTGCTACTTGTGCTTCTTTCTTTTCCATCCTGACTTCTCCTTATGATTGCGGGATTTCGTCCGTACATCACGACCTATCCCCTTCACCTCTATCCACTGACCACTGGCTTATAAGGAATTCTTCTAAAGTAACAGCCACTTTGTCTTTTAACGTCAGGAGGAGATGTGGGCCATCTCTCCATCGGACGGTCCACGGCCGATGGACTATTTATGCACTACATCTTCAATCACCAGATTAGGACGGTTCTCGCTGAAAAAGAAAAAGAAAGTAAAACTTGCTAGATATACCGAAGTTATTGGTTTCATCATATGTTGTCCAACTATATTATGACACGTGGGCGTTCATATCTTTCACAACGTCTGCATTTGGGTCGAAGCTTGTAACTTTAGCTGAACCTCCTCCCAGGTCATTTTCCTTCTTTCTTCAATTTGGCAACTGTTTTTTGTTTAATAGATTGTAATTCGACAACTAGTTTATATGGATGAATCTGAATATTTTATAAAACTAATCTTATATTTATTCTTTATAGAATTTGTTTACTTATGCAGTGAAATTTTTTAATTTTTGTTTTGAAATAAAATTTTCCTATCACAATATTGTGATTCATTAAACAATATTTCCTTTTCACAAAATTAAAGGAGTTGTAAGTTTGTGAGGTAATCCATCCATTTCATCTAGATGAATATTATTTATGTTTTATTTGGACCATTTATCAATCTATCAATTTATTTGAAATTATAAAAAGTAATCAATTGAAAAAATTTTCAAGTGCAAAAGAAGAATGCATTTCCAAGTAGAAAGTTTTGTTCCAATTTTTAGTGGAGTATGATTTTATCCAAAATTTTATTACAATGAAATTAAGTCTAAGTCGCAATTTACCCTTAACTATAAAAAAAAATTGAACACTAAATGTTTATCAAAATTGACATAAGATATATTCACCATACTAATAAAAATATAAATACATATTTACCTCATTTTTAAAATTAATAGAAAATTATTTACTTATTAATTATTCTAGAGGTAAAATTTTATATTAATAATTTATTTTATTTACTTTTTTTAAATTTAAAAATTTTTTATAAATATTTAAATAATTGATTAAAAATATTAGTATTAACCAAATAAATTTAAATTAATATTTAAACATAATTTACTCAACAATAAAAGAAAATAATATTATAAAAATATAACATTAAATATTTATTAATTAAAATTTAATTAATTTAAATAAAATTAGAATAAAAATAATATTTTATTAATTATATATATATATACCATAACGCAATTTAATTTATAACTTATTCACTTTTCAAACACACGCACAACACGTATATATAGGGCATGTATATCATTAAAATCACATATTTCTCACACTTTTCTTCGGATTTATAATCTTTTTACTCACATTCACTTCATATCCCATAAATTATGAATTTTTACTTACCTCATTAATATAGATTTGGATGAGTTAGTGGGTTATCCATCTATTTGCCTATTTTTAGTATTTATTTTTTTACTTTCAAAATCTAAATAAGAAAAATAAATTACAGAAAAAAGTGTTGGACACCTCTCCTACTTTGCAAATTTTAATTATGAGATATTAATTAAGAATTAATACTCAAAATTCATAGTAAAAAATAAAATAAACTTATAACCTCATTATAGCCCATTGAGCTTATATTATTTTAGAAAAATGAGAACAAAAATACAACCCTCAAATGAAGAGTTGGGATATACATTTAAAAGAGAAAACAACTAGAAATATAGTTTTAAGAAATTTTGAAATCTCCTCCTGTAACAAACAACAATTACAATTCCAATTCCAATTAAAAGCAGATCATGGTGATCAAAATTCACAAAACTTAGCTACATTAAAAATTTAATTTAATACTAAAAATGATTTGCAACTCACATGAAAAATATTTAAAGACAAGTCATGTTACAAGTAAGCAATAATAGGTAGTTAATTTCATATTTTGCATGTGATATATACCCATAATTAAAAAAAAAACATAAGGGATAAATAAGATATTAGAGTCTATGTTGAAGAAAATCTAACAGTTTTCCGTCAAAGTTTTATTTTTTTGATCTAAAAATTCAAAGAAAACTAAATAGTAAGTAATGTGATTTTAAAGTTACAACAAAATAACGAAAATTTAAACATCATTAAATGGAAGTGCATGTGAAAAATATTAGTTACACTTTTTAATATCATAAACAAGAATTGTCTTTGCTTTTTATCACTGACTAAAGTACATTACTTTACCATCAACCTGTAGAAAATATTGAAATTATACCATTAACTCTATTGAAGATTAATATAGAGATTATAATTTATTTTATTTATTAGTTTAAATTTAAATAAAATTTATTTTTTAATTATATTTAGTATATATTTATTTTTTAATTATATTTAGTATATATTTATTTTTTTAAAATCACATGAATTGTAGAAGTTTAATTTTTAGTAGATTTAATTTATGTTTATCTTTTAGATTATAATATATTATTTTTAAGAAATTTAATTTAAATATAAATCTATTTAAAGACCCTTTAAGTTGTTAATTTTGGTAGTTAGTGAAGTGAATAAAAATTTAAATTTTCTTCATCTAGAATAACCTCAACAAGTTGTATCAAAGCTTTTCTTAGTGTGATACCTCGAAAATACCCCCGAGTTAATTTTTTATAATTGATATATTTAATTAATCTTTATATATGTTAGAGTTAAATAAAAAAAATATATAGATAAGGATAAAAGAGCTAGAATGAGCATGAAGTGACATGTAAAAAGTAGTAACCTTTTAGATGAAGTGTCATGTGAAAAGTGGTAATCTTTTAGATAAAGCGGCATGTGAAAAGTTGTAACGTTTTAGATGAAGTGACATGATGAAAGGTTGCAACTTTTAGATAGAATGATATGACAGAATAGTGACAATCTTTCTCTTGTAGCTCCACACTCCTATAAATAGGGGATGGGAGAAGGGAGGAAGAGATATTCCGAATAAGAGAAAAATAGTGAGAAGCATAAAGGTGAGGAAAGAAGGAGTACGAAATGTGTGATTTTTTAGAGCATTATGATATTTTAGATAAAAATCTTGGGTAAACTCTATTAAATTCGTGAGAGTAAAGAAAGAGGAAGAGGAAGAGAAGAGGAGGATCACAGTCAAAATAAAGTTCTAAACTGTTAGAAATGTAAGCCTTTTCTTAAGCTTTAAAGTTCGGTTTCTTTTTAATTTTTTAGATTAGTTTTTAAGTATTGTATTGGATATTTTTTAGTCAAGAAAGTGATAAAAAAAATTATTCCAAAATTCTACCAAATTTTTGAGAGAAAAATATCATAAATAAAGTCGGAACTCTATCGAAATTACAATTACGACTGCTAAGAATCTAAGGCAAGTGGATATTATGGATTCATTAACTTATGTAACTTTAAAGTATTTTACGTATTTTCAGTATAAAAATGTGAAAATGTTCGAATTATCTTTCGTATTTGCTAAGTAAATATTTGTTAAAGTTTTACTTTGATATAAATATTATTTTACTTTTTGTTCTCGAAATGTGATTTTGATATGTGTGCATAACTTATTATGAAAAGAAGTCATTTCGAAAGCACCTTAATTGTAAAAAACTTTAATATAGTCGTACACAATCATTCCGTGTTTGGATGTATTGGCAGAGTGATAAGTGTGTATCCATACATAGTCGTTCCGTGTTTGGGTGTATGTGAAAACAGTCTAATATGCGTGTCTTAACCTTTTCGTTTTGGGGGTAGTATTATTTTAAGGTACTCATGTGTACCGTTCTATGTTTAGGTATATGGAGAACCAGTGATAAGTATGTGTGCCTACGCATAATGTATGGTAACTAATTAACTCTCTATAATAGTGATGAAATATACAATGAAGCAATCGTGAAACTGCTTTCTGATTTGTGAATTCGTTTTCTGATTCGTATATCTATTTTTAAAAAAATTATATAATATATGTTTTGTTGTGTGTAAAGAAAGCTATATATTGTATGTACTATGCTGTAATTTCATAATATTACTTATTGAAATTTTTATCTCACCCCCTATCACCCTTCAAATACCGAAAATATCACTGTAGAGTGAGCGGTGATACGAAAAATAATTTTGAAGATAGATTATGAGATTAAGGTTACTGTTTCATATTTTTGTTTAGTAGTATAAGTAAGAAAATTTAAAGTCTTGTACATATGTTTATGTTTTATATTTAAGAGATGTAACCCTTCTGCGACTCTGCTATGATTAATAAAGTTAAGTTATTTTACTTAACTCGAGTTTATGTAATTTAAGTAAGTATGCTCCGGTCATTACTCTATAAGATGGGGTATGGTCTGTAATAAGTAGTATCAGAGTACGGTTCTAAGACATCATTTGAATACAAGGCTTAGGGTTACATAAGACTTAGATAGAGTTGTCAAACATATTGAAATGCCTCTAAGTTCGAATTTCATTAATATAGAAAATGATAAGGATACCAAGGGAGTAGGCACATCGGGTTCCAGAAGATCGGATCTAGTACAGTCTAGAAAGACTTGTGCATATAGGTCAACACGTAATCCATAGCCAAAGTGCTACTAACAGTAATAATACTAGTATTAGTAACACCCAACGAATGGAGGAAAATAATGAAAAAATCATTAAAAAGTTTAAGAGGATGAACCCACCAACATTTGCTGGAGTAACTGATTCAATATTAACCAAGTAGTGGATCATGGAGTTGGAGAAGATGTTTGAGGTTCTCAGCCCCACTTTAGAATAAAAGGTATGATTAACCACATTCATGTTCAAGGGACTTGTACAATACTAGTCACATTTGAAGAAGGGATCCTTGAGGACATTAATCCTTTGAGAAACATTTCGAGCAATGTTCTATGAAAAGTATTTTCATGATTTTATTTGAGAATAGAAATAAATGGAGTTTCTAGAGTTAAAGCAAGGGAATATGAAAGTGGTAGAATATGCAGAAAAATTCTTAGAGTTGACTTTATTCGCGCCTAACTTAATAGTAGATAGAAACCTAAGAGATAGAAAGTTTTAGAGAGGCTTGCGTAAGGAGATCTGGGATAAAATCTCA